CTGGACCACCGCGCCGCGCAGCGAGAGGCGCTGGCAGATGGAAGCGAGCAGCAGCTCTATCTCAACGGTCGCCTGCCCGCTCGCCACCAACAGGCACGCGAGCCGGAGGAGCAGCACCACACCGTCGGCGAGCAGTTCCTCACCGTCCGGAAGTGTCGCGTGCGGAGAGTACGCCGCGCGAACGTCGGCCTCGGTGATCGCCGTGTGTGGTCCGAGCGGCCGGCTTCTGGCGAGGAAGTTGCTCGTTATCCGTGCCGGCGTAGCGCGATGGGCGGCAATCATCTCCTTTGCAGTCCTGACACGCTGGGTGTCGACGTACAGGCCGTCGGCGAGGAGGCGGCGCACATCGATGGCCTGCGGCAACCACCGCGAACCTGTGAAGAGCATACCTCGGCTGTGCAGCCGGACCGCAGTCGCGATGGACGCGGCGAAGAAAAGCGTCGAGGGCAGGAGAAAGACGAGGGCAAGCTGCCACGTACGGAAGATTGACCACGACCAGTGCTCGGTGTCCGGCTCCATCATCTGAGTCGCAGCGGCCAGCGTCGCACAGTACCGGCTTGGGCCTGTCGCCCTCCTCCTCGGCCGGCGCGTCGCCCTCGAGCGACGCTTGGTCGGCGCCGCGGGGTCATGACCCAACAGAGTGTGAAACCCGGCGGCAAGAATAATTTCTCGTGTCACGGTACACCCTCACCGGAACCGGACCACAGGGGTTCATACACCAGCACGCCCTCGGCGTTCCCCATGGTGCGGACGTACCGCACCCCGTCGACGCCGAGCCGCCGCATGATGGTGTGCAGGAGGAGCAGCTTTGGGAGGACGAGGTCCTCCTCGTCGTGCAGCGAATCGGCGCCCGTCGCCTCCGCCATCTCCGCGTCGCTCTTGCCCAAGCTGCGCTCGACGGCGGCCCACACCGAGGCGGGGGTGAGTCTGGCGCCCTCGCCCGGCCCCGCCTCCCCGGCGGTGGGGATGCTGGCTGCGAGCGCAAAGATGCTCGTCCTCTCGCCAAAGCCAACCACACGGC